CAGATACGATTTGATGGTATGCACACACAAAAAATAATAAAATAAAATTTAAAAAAATATTTTACTGAGCACTCACATTATACTAAGCTAATGGGAATCAAAAGACAAATTGATTGGGAAAATCTGCTGTCATGGACCTCTCCAGGGTGCTGAAGAGCAATGATGTCAGTCTAGATACAAAGGTGTACCTAATCCAGGCCACAGTTTTCTCTATTATTTGTTAGGCTTCAGAAAGTTGGACAATGACTAAGGATGACAGAAAAATAGATGCTTTCTAGTTGTGATGCTGGAGAAGAGCCTTGAACAAAGCATGGACTGTCAAGAAAACAAATAGGTCTGTCTTGGAGAGGGTGAAACCATGTCTCTCCTTGGAAGCTAGGATTTTTTTTTTCATTGTTTGTATTTATTCCAACTTTTCCAGTTCTTTCTTTCTTTCTTTTTTATAATTTCATTAATTTTAATGAAAGTTTACAGAGACTTAGCGTTTCCAGTCATTCATTGTCATTTTTCTTCCTGCCCACCCCCTCCCAATTCACTCTTCTCCTTGAAAAGTAAAAGAAAAACTCTTTCATTGTTATGTAATCTCCCCATGCTCCAAGTCCACTTCACTGTGCAGCCTTCATTCTGGACTCCTGTCATGACAATAATACCACCTCACTTACTTTGAGCACATGGCCAAGAGAGATCGGCCCTTGGAGAAGGACATCATGCTCGGGAGGGTGGATAAACAGTGCAGAAGAGGGAGATCCCAGATGAGATGGATTGATACAGTAACTAGGGCAGTCGGGGTTGGTGTGTCAGAATTAGTGAGACTGGCTCAGGACAGGGAAGGGTTCAGAGCTGCTGTACATAGGGTTGCGATTCAACCAATAACATTCTATGACAGATTAGGAAGCAGGAGTGGCATCCACTTCCTAAATAACTTGCCTCCAGAAACTCTGTGAACTTTATAGATGTCGATAGTTATAGAGGGGTTTCAGGCCTTTCATTCATTCATCGGATCACTATGAGTCGTTCTTGACTCGAAGGCAGTCAACAACAACAACAATGGTCAAAGAAAAGACCAGTTATATCTTCCAAAACAGTTAGTGGCTGTTAGTTGTTGTGGTTAGGTATCATTGAGTCAAGTATGACTCATAGTAACCCTATGAACAACAGATCTGACTCTGTCCTATGCTGTCCTCACTGTCTCTGACATTCTTGAGCAGAGTTCCCATCACAGCAGTCCCTATGTCAATCCATCCAGGTAAGAGTCTTCCTTTTTTTCACCAATCCTCCCCCTTTCCAAGAATAATATCCCTTTCCAAGGAATAACGTCTTGTAACAACATGCCCAAGGTATGTGAGGTGAAGCTTCATCATCTTCCCCTCCAAGGAGCACTCTAGCTACGCTCTCTCTACAACACATAGCTATTTGTTCTTTTGGCTGTTTATGGAATGTTCATTACACTTCTCCCACACCACAGCTCAAAGACATCAATTCTTTTGTCATCCTTACTCATTGTCCAACTCTCAGATACATAGTGTCTCTCTTACTCATTCATACGTGAATTGCAGCTACTGCTGGGCATCCTTTCTGTGAATTGAAGGGATTTCCACTGGGCAGAAAATTTCTCTTTAATGCTTCCTTAGTTTTATCTTATAAGAATGAAGTTATCAGTCATCAACAATCCCCTTTCAGCAAGGTGAACTCTCAGTAGTGTGATCCTCCAATTTCACTGCTCATAGCAACTGGGGGGGGGGGTCCCTATACCAAATGTGTTTCCAGTCAGCAGCTAGGTAACTGGCCTCAAAAATTCCTAGCATAGACTGATGAACACATCCAGGGCCGAATTTGTCATATGAAACATATCAATTGTTATTCCATCAATTCCTGGGGCTGTATTTTTTTTGCCAATGCCTTCGGTGCCACTTGAACTTCCTCTTTCATTACCTTTGGCTCTTGATCATATAGTATTTCCTGAAATATTTAATAATCAAGAAATTATCTTTGGTACAGCCATTCTGTGTATTCCTTTAATCTTCTTTCACTGCTTCTTTGATCATTCAAGATTTTCTCCACAGCAGGTGTTAAATATTGCAATTTGAGATTTGAATTTGTTTTTCAGTTCTTCCAACTTAAGAAAGGCCAAGCAAATTCTTTCCTTTAGATTCTCCAATTCTAGCTCTTTGTATATCCTGAAATAATAGTTTGCTTTGTCTTCTCAAGTTGCCTTTTGAAATATTCTATTCAGCTCTTAGTTCAACTCTCTTCGCTGTGTGCTGGTTTCTCAACCCTCTAGTGCAATTTTCAGGTTGGATGACTGAAAGGTATTCCTATTTGTTCCCATTTCCAAGAAAGGTGATAGGATATTGAAATTATCAGACAAAATTATTAATAGCATATGCAGGCAAAATACTTCTGAAGATAATTTTTAAATGGCCATAACAGTATATAAACAGAGAAAAGCCAGTTCACGCTAGATTAGAAGAGGCTGTGGCAACAGGAATATAATTTCTGTTGTCAGATGGATCCTACCTGAAAGCAAAGAATACCAGAAGAAAGTTTATTTGTGCTTTATTGACTATGCAAAGGCATCTGACTGTGTGGATCATAACAAATTATGGCTAATCTTATGAAGAATGGGAATCCCAGAACACTTAATTGTGCTTATGCAAAATCCTTAACCAGACCAAGATATTGTTTTGTTTATGTAGTTTAAAATTAAGAAAGATGTGGGTCAGGATTATAACCTTTCTCTATGCCTATTCATTCTGTAAGATCAAATTACATGAGAAGCTGCACTCTACGAAAAATAATGTGGCATCAGGATTAGAGGAAAACTCATCAACAACATCCTTATGCAGATTAATTACCTTGCTTGCTAAAACTGAGGAGGACATGAACTCCTTGCTGCAGAAGATCAAACTCTACAGCCTTCAATGTGGATTGCATCTCAATATCAAGAGAAAAATTCTCACCACTGGACTGATAGGTAACATCATGATAGACAGAGAAAAGATTAAAGCTGCCAAAGTCTTCATCTCACAATCTGTACACTTAGTACCAGCACTTGGGAAATAAGGTACATATTGCAATGGGAAAATCTACAGTTAGAGATCTCTATAAATTATTGAGGAGCAATGATGTTAGTTTAAGGACTAAGGTGCACCTGATTTGGGCTATGGTCCTCTCAATCACTTGCTATGGTGCTAAGAGCTGGACAATGAATACAGAAATAGAATTAATGCCTTTAAACTGTGGTGTTGGAGAAGAGAACTAAAAATCCTGTGGACTGCCAAGAGAATAAGCAGATAGGTCATGGAGAAGATGAAGCCAGAGTGCTCCTCAGAGGCAAAGATGATGTAGCTTCATCTCACATACTTCGGCATTTTGCTAGGTGAGGTTATTCATGGAAGTGGGACATCATGCTTCAAAAAGTGGAGGGATGGCAAAAGAGAGGAAGACTGTAAACCAAGTAGATTGATACAGTGACTGCAGCAGTGGGTTCACGTATGTTAAAGATTGTGGGATTGGAACAAGATTGGACAGGGTTCGGATCTGTTGTTCATAGGGTTGCTATAAGTTGCAATCAGCTTGACAGAACAAAACAACAAGAACATACCAAATGCTGTATGATATGTTCTCTTACATTTTACAATCATGTAAATTCAGTTCTGTAGAAATGCATAGGACAAAGTTTTTAAGTGCTACATCATAGAGAGCCGACATAATTAGAGATTATCAGACAACCCCCCCAAGCTGGAATCGCACACCTTCAAAATAGAAGATCTAATCATCTATGGTGTGTGTGATCTAGTATCAGACTGTGTTGGGATGAGAGATGAGTAAATTAATGAGGTCGCACTTCAAAATTACAAACAATGAGTGTAAATATGGCACTCGAGTGGTCTGAACTCAGAAGACCTTGGCTTCTTTTCATGAATGCTTAAGATGATCAAAACACTTTACCAACACGTTTGTTCCCTTTACACTGGGCTATGTTTTATTAATGATAAATTACTTTTATCTGCAGTCCTTGGATGCATTTGGATTACACCAAAATGGAAACCTGCAAAGTAGTATTATAGGCTTTTACAGGTGGAGAGGTAGAAGGAGAGAAAGACTTAGACAAAGGGCATAGAGTTGGCAAAAGCCTGGAATTTGAAGTTCTCTGTTACTGACAACAGGCCGAATAATTACCCTTCTTTCAGTAAAGCTGAATTTTCCTGCATTAGTGGACATGTGTTCTTGCTCTGATAAGTCTAATTTTATTAACGTTTTACAGGAATTAGGAGTTCCCGTGAGGTTTAGTTTTGTTTTTAAACAAAGATCCTCCAATAGAGGTTGACTGATGCCTAACCCAAGCCACGATAGCAGAGGATTCTGCGTCACAGTGGAAGATTTTAACCACATATAGAAATCCAACTGCTCATAAAACAGTCTCTCCTGTGCCTGCCACTATCCCCATCTTCCTGGCTGCTAACTCTGGGCAGGCTTCCCAAATGAAATGAGAGTAATCGTCTGGAAAATGATTGCAAAGATGCATCTGTGTAGATCCTGCCTGGAGGGACCACTCCAAAGGGACCAAGCACCAGGCTTTCCCTGCAAAGGTGGAGGAGATGATGTGTGGAACACAGACTCAATGGAAGAAATGGGCTTGATAGGTCTAGGTGCCAGCTGAGGTCCCATTTCATACCTCTAGAGGCTCCTCATCCCCTCATTCCTCACCCTAACAAGACTTCTGTTATCTAACAGAGCCTTCCAACATCAGAGCAGCAGGCACCCAAATCTATACATGTGATTCTCACAGGCTGTATCTCTTTTTAATAACCATATTGTGTCCTCGTTAGTCAGAGGAAACCATCTGTAAATAGCTCATACCAATGACATTAAATGAAAATTCTTGTGCAGTTTAAGTACACATTATTACTTAGAAAGTGACATCAGGCTACCCCCAATGAGATGGATTGACATGATGACTTCACCAATAGGCTCTAGTGTGTCGATATGATGAGGATGGTTCAGGATAAGGCAGGGTTCAGGTCAGTTTTTCATACGGTCACTATCAGTTGTACTCGACTCAACAGTACCTAACAACAACACATTGTATCTGTACACATACACACACATTCAAAATGAAAACACTTTTCAATACACTCATTTTTACATTCTTGACCAGTCAAGTCATTCAAAACTACTAGATAGGTCTGTGCATTTATACACAACTACATCTAAGAACTGAGCACGTTTTCCACACTCAGGCCATTCTAGGAAACTCTGGTGGTGTGGTCTGTAGGAAGTCGCTTGCTAACCCATAGGCTGCCTTTCTGGCAATTTGAATCTTTTAGCAACTTTACAAATAAAAGATGTGTTGTCTCCTTACATGTGATTTACAACCTCAGAAACCCAGTGGAGAGCCAGCTAGGGGTGAGTTCTAGTTCAAAGCAAATAATGAGAGGCTATTCTGAAAATCTCTTGGAACAAATGAAAAACTGAAATAGAAGTGTTGTTAGATACTTTTGAGTAGAGTATGATTCCCAGTAAAGCTATTAATAACAGTTCTGAACCTTAGTCTATTCTGTACCATCTTCACTTCTGACACACTTGTACCCATTGCTACAGTCATTATGTCAATCCATCTGGCTAAAGGTCTTCCTCTCTTTCACTGACCCTCCATCTTTCCATATATGATGCCTTTCTCCAAGGAATAGCCTCTCATCGCAACATGTCTAAATTATTTGAGGTGAATCTTTGTCATCTTTGCCTCTAAGGAGCACTCTGGCTGTACTTTTTCTAAGATATTTCTGTTTATTTTTTTGGCAGTCCATGGGATATTCAGTACTCTACAATTCCACAGATCAAGGGTATCAATTATTCCTCTGCTGTCCTTATTCATTGCCAGCTGTCAGAAGAACAGCGAGTGACTGAAAAGACCATGACCTGAGTCAGGTGTACCTTAGTCTTCAAATTGACATCATTGTTCCTCAGTAATTTGGAGCAGTCCTTTCAAAAGACTGCTGAAGCAGCTAGCAAATTAAATACTGTTGTGTACTGTAGAGTCAAAACCGACCCATAGCTACCCTCCAGAGGGTTTTCAGAGGCAGTTGATCTCACAGGAGGAGATTGTTCATCCTTCCCCTGTGGAGCAGCTGGTGGTCTCAAACCATGTACCTTTGGGATTATAGCACAGCTTCTTGCCACAGGGCCACCAGAGCTCCCTTATTTGTTGTACTGCTTACCAAACTGTTCCCTGGGATAAAAATGAGTTGTCTCCTCCTATAAAGATTTATAGTCTCTAAGACTCAATGGAAAGTCATCATGTATCTGAACTGAATCTACTGCAGTGGGTTTGGCTTTGGTTAACTGAGTTTCCTACTTAGTTACTTAGTATTACGGCAGAATTAGCATCCATTTCTCAGTGGCAACTCTTTTCCTTTGAGTTTTCTTTCTGACTTTCTCCTCTATATTCCTGGTTTCTAAGTATCTGTGTGCTTTCTAACTCAGAAATAAACTCCTCACATGAGAACCAGAATGAATGGCACTTCAAGTAATATTCAGCACGCCTCAACACAGGACATGTTTATTCTGTGGGGCCACCTGACTGACTTTCAATCTCAGCTATATCTATTATTAGCTATTTGGCTTTAAATAAGTTACTTAACCTTTTGGTACTTCATATTTCATTAGCTTCAAAATGAGAACAAGAATAAGAGTTCCTCTATCATGAGGATTTTCTGAGTATCTAATAAAACAATGTATATCAAGGCTTAGAATAGAGCATAGCACATAGTTCAATACACATTTGTTATCATGCATACAACTAGTAAGGTTAAAAACAAAGATGTTATCTTTTTTCCTCTATTCTCCTGTTTTATTTTGCTGGCTTTTTTTCATGTGTTGATTCCATCTGTTAGCAATGAAGAGGTTGACATTTATTATCAAGATACTAACTGAAAAGAGGCTAAATTTGCTCGTTTATAAAGACCATCCAGTTACTTATATAACAGTTTGCAAGAACTTTCCACAAAGAGATACATAATAATTTCTGTTGTAATAGAAGCTCTCTTACCTGGAACTCCACTTGATGGATTAACTCGGTAAATAATGGGTGTCTGTGCCTTGGAAAACTGTTTAGAAAACATTATCATAAGTGAGTATTTCATTAGACTCTCACAACAGCAACCAATGTGCAATGTGGTCTAGGATAGCAAGTAAGTAAATTCCTTCTGTTATATATATAAAAAAGAGAACGAGGGCACTAGGGAGAGAAATAAAAAAAGGAACTGGTTCCAAGAAACGAACAGGCCTTTATTGTGTGGTCTGAGAGAGGAGCCAAGTGACCCATCCACATGGCATGCAGACAGGATCAAAACGGTGCACGAGCAGTTTGCAGGGTTTCCTTTTTATAGGGGTCCTGGGGAGAACTAAGATGGTACTTCTCGGAATTTGGAGTGTTAATTTAGTTAGGTTTTAGCTTTTTTCTATTTTCTCAAGCTCAGACTCTTATCAGGATCCCTTGTCTGGTCTGGTCTTTGATGTGACCAGCTCAGGTGTTAGTAAGTTTCTCAGGATGTGATCAAGCTTGGGGGTGGTGGGGAAACTGCCATATTCTCCCTTCACCTTCAAATCGCCTTTATCCCTATTTTTTATCCTAGTAATTTTTCTATGACATTAGATGACACATTATTATAGTTCTATAGTTAAGGCAAGGAGGAATTTTTATCAATGTCCTACAAACCTTTATCTTAAACCATGTTCTCTCACCCTTTTTCTACTTACCCATCTGCCAGAAATACATTATACAAGAAGGAAATGTGGTAACCTATGCTTTAGAATATTAGTCATTTAATTCCATATTATCACTTCATTCTTTTGATTCTTAAAGTTTTGTGCTTTCACCATTCTAGGGACCAAAATTTTCTTATTTAATAGAAAGAACTGTAACTTAGTGTCAAGAAGCTGTGCTGCAGTCCCGAAGGCACAAGGTTCAAGGCCACCAGCTGCTCTGTGGGAGAAGGATGGACAATCTCCTGCAGTGAGATTAACTATCTCTGAAAACTTGCAGGAGGGTCATTTGCAACTCTACGGTAACAACAACAGCATGTTGGTAGGTATAAGCAAGCTATGAAAAAAAGCCTGAAAAATGGGAGCCTGGGTAGGCACACAGGTGGAGTCCTTTTTAGGGACCTGGAAAGTGTCTGCTGCAAGGAAAAAGGATGCAAATATTCAAGGAATGGGAAAACAACACTCTATTTCAAGAAGAAGGAAAATGGCATGGATGAGAGAGGCGAGAGCCTGCAAAAACTTGGTCATGGTTTTATAAATCATCTTGCAATGCTCCCTTCTTCCCATATACATCAGCTATTAAAATATATGCTCCAGAAAGACAGAGGCAATACTTGACTTGGTTGATGTCATAGCCCATGCATAGCCTATGAGGAAGACTTCACATTCTTTTGAATGAATGAATGAAGTTGTCCCATCTGGAATGACTGGTGTACTGTTCCTGGGAGCAGAAAAGAGAATGAGATGATCTCAGGAATTCTTTCTCACCTACAGACATCCCATCTCGCATACAATCTAAGATCAGCACACAAGAGCATTGACAGAATTCTGGCCTTCCATGCAGGAAAACTAGATTCAGCTCCCAGCCAGTATACCTCACTGCATAGCCACCACATGCCTCTTCAGTAGAGGTTTGCATGATGCTAAAAAAGTTCCAGCATTGCTTTTGGACTAAGATGGAATAAGAAAAATGGCCTGGTGATCTGCTTCTGAAAATCAATTAGTGGAAAAACCTCTGGATTACAACAATCTGATTGGCTACTGGTGTGGTGCAAGGCAAGGCAGTGTTTTGCTCCACTGTGGATGGGATCACCATGAAGCAGGGGCCAAGTCCACAGCAGTCCAAAACAAGAACATCAACACACAAACATCGAGCAATTCCTCTGGAGATTAATATGAAGAAAAAGGAAAACATAAGCATGAGTTAAGTAGGGTAAGCTTTGACCTGTGAGCCAGTGACTTACAGAGAGGAAGACAGTCAGCTTCCACCACATGGACTCTGAATCTCCTCTAGATGCCTAGATCTCCTCCACAGGAGAGCTTCCCCACAGAGCTTCCCATTTGTGTCACAAACGACAGCAAACTGTTTTGCTTGGTCTGCTTCCACCTTCTTGGGAGTCCGCCTTCCAAGGGAGAACATTTCCAAAGAATAACTCCATTGTTAATCAACAACCCTAATCAGGCATTGAAAATCAAGACTTTTTAACAGAGCTAACAGAGGGGCTTGGAAAGTTTGAGGTGTAAGTATTGATCCACATAGTTGTATATATTACTGTCAAGGTTAATGTCCCTCCAATTTTAAAAGGAGAGGGTTAGAGAAAAGTTCACACAAAATATGTGCACTCAGAGGGTTAAAATGAGCATCCTGTGACCTCTCTGATTTGCAGCTGGCTCTGATCTTGCCAGAAGATAAAGATTAATGTCATTCCACACATACCTGCCAAGCACACAATCTCCACCTCTTCTCAAACCCTTAAAGTTTCTGTGCCAGTGTGAAGACCTTCAAACCAATAGAATTTCAATTGGAGTTTTATCACAGGAGCCTCATGAAGTGGAAAACTCAGATCTACTCATTGCCATCAAGTCTGGGAATTGAGTCATAGCTCACCCTGCATTGGGTTTTCAAGGCTGTAAATCGCATGGGATAAGAAGGTCCACCTTTCTCCCAATTTACTGCTGGTGGATTCAAACTGGCAGAGGCATGACCTTAGCAGAACAACTCCTTGTGGACCACCCACCAGTGGTCCCAAGTAGAGCACCAATTATCACCCTGTTTCACAGATGTTAGGCAAAAGAACTTAACTGAAGCCAAGTAACAAAACATACTTCCCAGTTTTCAACATGAAATACAAGACATCCAAATCAGGAAATTTAGAATCCTTCTACCAGAAGTTTCTGGGGCATACAGTGATGGTTTTATGACTCTCTCTGTCAGCTAAATGTGCTGAGTGGTAGAGCAGATTCAGGATTAAACCTCAAAAAGGGCTTCCCTTGTGATCCTCTCAGAGCTGATGCAATATAAAACAGTACATTTCTAAGAAAAACAGGCCTTGGTCACCCACCAAGCCAGAGACATGGCAAAGTGAAAAATTAATGAGCTTCCCGCATGCTGCTCCTTGAGCCCAAGTGAGGTCAGCAACAGCAAGATGGAGGGAAGAGGCAGATTAGAGGACCAGAACCACAGCCACCAGCTGCTTGCTAAACCTTCTGTGAATTGTTCAGACTTGTCAGAGCCTGCAGCAGGCTCTTTGGAGTGGACTGGCGAGGTGAAATAAATTTTTAATACTCATGGTTCCCTCAGCCCTAGTCCCAAAACAAAGAGACACACAGTGTTTTATTTAGCTTGGAATGTCTCTCATTAACTGCATCCCCTGGTGATTCTCCATCAACTCATCATGCTAGATGAACGATGCAAGGACTTGTTTGCTTTAATGTGTGATTTTTAGAAAGTATTTCTCCTCTTTCCCCTCTCCTACTCTCCTTATCAGCCTTTTAATAAGTAAGAATGTTTAGTGTCTGAGGGGAAAGGAGCATCAAACCCCAGCCCAGCATGGTGGTTCAGGACATGCTTAGCCATCTCTCTTTGGTTCTTTTCCCTGAGAGCACAAAGGTATTGGTGTGGGTGTTAATAAAACGACAGTTTTTCCTTTCTACTGCATATGAGCAGACACAAAATTTGGGGAAACGAGGCTATCTTGGACTGAGAAAAAAAGTGCTTAAATGTGAATTGACAGAAAAATGCAAATGTCAAAAATGAATCAGTAATGTAAAGTGTGGACACTTGGAGATGAACTTAGAGGGTAAGTGTGGTTCTACAGAGCTCTCTGTAGCACTGAATTGCACTCTTCAAAACAGTTCTTTTTTTTTTTTAATTTTTTTTTTTATTTTATTTTGTGTATGTGTGTCTGTGTACCGTCAGATCAGATCTGACTGGTACAGGAGGAGATTGTCCCTCCTTTCCCGGCAGAGCATCTGGTGGATTTGAACCATGCATTTCTGGGATTGCAGTGCAGCTTCTTGCCACTAGGCCACCAGAGCTCCCCCTTCAAAACAGTTCTTAAGCTGAGATTCTCTATACATGTTGGTGTTGTCACTAGCTGCCGATGAGTTGGAGTGTC